GAGCACAGTTTTAGGTTCATGAAAACTCCAGTAGCTTATTACTTGATTTTGCATTTTTGGATTCTTATTATTGGTGTCAACAGGCACATCAAAAAGCTCCATATATGTGGGAGCACGGAATTAACTATCCATATATACGAATATAAGTAAGTAAATATGACATGAGTGTGTTGCAAAAACAATGCTTACAGAAACAGAATATCAGCTGCTTTCTGTTGAGACTAAAAGATTTGTGGGTAAAAATCAGTCCTTCAACTTAACTTATTTCTAAAGGTGGCATATTTTTTTTTCTCCTGTTTAAAGCTAAAATGAAAGAAGCTATTATTTTGGTGTAACGCATTCAAAAAAAAAAATCTGTTTTTTTTCTTTTTAATTTTTTCTATGAATGGGTTTACTTAATAAAAGGTTTAGTTCCAATAATTGCCTTTTGCACAGTCTGAAAGTTAGAATTTCATACAGATATTTAATGTATAAATTCTATAATGATGAGATATTTTCATACCCTAATAAGTAAAAGCAATTTCAAGTAATGGAGAGGCATTGTTTTTCTTTTCTCCAGTGTTTTCTATAAGCTGTCAAGAAGATTATTTTCAGTGTTTTAAATAATGGTAGGAGGCTAGAACTGAGAACGGTTTATAAGCCATCTTTCTATATTAAGCCTAAAGCATTTGGATGGTTTTTGATCCTCAATCACACTTAAAAGTAATCGGTTTTAAGTTTTCAAATCATATAACAATACTTACAGGTAGATTGGAAGTTCAAAAAAGTTTGAGGCAGTAAACACTTACATACATCTCTAAATATGCAAGTTAACACTACAAGTTAGAATGACCCTCTCCCAAGATTATTTTTTTCCAAATTCCTCCCTACCCTGTTCCTCCTTCCCATTTATTTTTATTTATTTTTATATAACTGTAAAGCCTTTCGAAAGTGTAGACATTAAGATTTTTACTTTGTAATTTTACTGTGTGAAATAGTTCCTTTATGATCATGTTACTATGTGATGTGTTTATGATGTGTTATTTTACTGAAAAATAGGATATTGTGTTAAAATTAATTTGCACTTGAAGCGCACGTGATGTGACTGTACAGCATCTGCTAACCTGCTTTTCATCGTTAATTGCATGACCAAAACTTTTTTTTTCTGATTGGAAAATGTTTGCAATTGGGTATACTGTTCACAATCACTTAGAAACAAACAAACAATCCCATAACAAACCCTCAGAAATAACAAAACAAGTTTTCTTTCTAGATGCTTCTTTGCAAATGCAATTTCTCTTAGTTGCATAAAAACCACAGCCAGCTGTTATTATTTTTAAACTGATTTTTTCCTGTTGAAATATTCTTGCCCCAGAACAACAGCTTCATGCTTTGTTGAGGCTTCCTGCAATCTGTTGACTTTCGTTCATATCAGGAGAAAGAGTTCTGTGCAATACTCCAACAAAATTATTCAGTATTATTCAGTATAACCTTAAAAGATACTGTAACTAAATTTAGTAGCTGGCAAAAGTTTGAATAATTGCTAATGGTATCCTGTCAGAGTGAATCAGAAACTCAATACCGGACAAAGCAATAAGTGTTACTCATTTTTAACACTGCCAGCAGAAATAGCAGAATAAATGGGAAGGTGCAGTGCTGTGAGTTATCCACTTAATTGGCACCTCGTAAAGCTGACCTTTACATTTCAAAAGTATAATGTATATATTCTGTACACATCAAGAAGAGAAATCATGAAATTGACAGACTGGACTCCTCATTATAAAAAAAAATATGTAATGCATTTTACATTGACAAATAATTTCTGGAGATTCTGAAGACCATCAAAAATCCATTTTCACATTTGCAGACAAATGGCACTTGAATGATCAGCTATTTAAGGCCACAGTTTAAAGCAGAGAGCTCTACCTGCTCCAAATGAAATTTCACGTTTGAAAAGGAGTTTAAAGATCAGCTATATGTGCAGTGTCTGGAAATATAATTTAACCTTCTAAAAGAAACAAATTTGCACATATATCTATATACAAGCACATCTCATAATGTTAAGTGTCATAAAATCAGTCAATTTGATTAAATGTATTTATAACTATGTAATAATGTACACAGTTATATGTGCATTATTTAATGTTTTACTTTAGGAAAGGAAAGCTAGTTGTAAAATGCTCCATGACATATTGAAAAACACACGGTGTGTTTACCTAAATCATATATCATAACTTGCTTTATAACTCATAAATATTGGGGTGAAATTTTGCTCTAGGCATATTTTGGTATTTGCTGCATATGTTTTTTGGCAGTATGTTCCAAATGCCAGTCTGTTGTATTATTCCATCTTTATTTCATGACTCAGTAATTACAACAGATTTTTGTAGGTGTACTGCCTACTGAAATAAAAAAGCATAATCTTTGTCAATGCATTTAAATAAATACTAAGAAAGCATAAGCTGTGTTTAATCTCATTCTCAGTATTACACAAAATTGATCCAATGTTTTATTATGCTCTGACAATAATATAAAAAATAGTACCTAAAGCAGGGGGAGGTATAATTCACAGAATTTCAGTGTTCTTAAGAAGAATGAAGGTAAAGCTTAAGAGAATTAATTGCAACCTTGGTTGTAGAGCGCTTTGGATTATCTCTCCTGATCATTTGATTGAAAATTTTTTTTCTACACATGCTTTCTTAATACAAGATCAGAATAATTACAGCCAAGTAAATGCCTCAAAAAAGTGTTTCTACTGAATGAAATAATATGTTAATTTGCCCTTGTCCATACTAATACTTTCTTTTTGTTTTCCCCAGCTATTTTAATGAATTGCTTAGTAGGAAGAATGTTTACAGAAAGAATTGCTTTCTCTTAGCGGTTTTCAGTAATTGTTTTTGAAGTTATCAGTCTCAAAAAACAGCAGTCAAGAAACATCATAACAAGAAATTGCTTTGGACACTCATATTATAGATCACAGTGCATGCTCAGTCCTAACTACAGACATAGTTAAAGATCTCTGGACACTGCTTGAAATGATTCGATAAATGTTATTCAAATATGCTAACTAAAACTGCCACCACACATCGAACAGGGCAAAATGGGTTAGAGGCTAATGCTGCATCCATATGTAGGCAATTTAATAGAACATTTCCTTAATCAGTTTTCTGAATAAAAAAATAATTGGTAATCATGTTCCTCTGGGATTATGCAATGACACTAGATCTTCTTTTGAAATGGTTCTATAGAACACACTGTTTTACAGGCAGTTAATCTCAAAGTCCTTATCCACACCAGAATAGTATTGCTTCCAAATTGTAACGTGCTGGCACAAGAACCTGTTTAATTTGTTGGCTAGTGCGAGTTAGTTAAGAGTTGAATGGGGAGAGGTGTGGCCAATCATTTCTGGTGTCCCTGGTGGAGAAGGGGGAGATGGACATGCAACACAAGGCAGTAGCTTTTAAATCCCCTTCCTTAAACAAAAAACTATCTATCTATACTTTCAAAATTCTTTAAGTCTGCAATTAGCAGTACGGATGGAAAGCTAATACAATTGTGTTCAAAACAATAAATGCACGTGATTTTCTTTACCATGATGAAGTGAAAAAACTAGCAGGATAATTTTTGTTCTTGTGTTCTATGGATGAGTCACTAGGCTAAACACAAAACTAATAGTTAAGAACATCAAGGTTTCATTAAGAGGTACTACTATTATAGTTCTTAAAACTTAATCAGTGAAATAGAGAAAAAATCCTATATGTAAAGATGATGATACTCTTAAGAAATATTTCTTGACAATTTTTACAATAGAACTGATATTAAAGAGGACTTTTTTAACAAGATGATACGCAGCCTGCTTAATCTTTTAATATTAAAAGGAATAAGACCTCATCTGAAACAAGAGTTACTAAATTTCTCATAACCTCATATCTTATGTACACCTTTTCATAGTGTGTACAAAACAGTGTTAGATCATAATTATCTCCTTGAGTGAAACAGTGCTCATGTTTTATCATTTACACTTTGTCTGGGTGTAAATTACAGTCAGTCCCAAAATGTTCCCTCAGGACCAGATTACAAGAAGAAAGATTGAGAATGAGGTCAGAAAAAAAA